ATGTTGTGGTAATTATGTTTGTGTGTCAACTTGGCTGGGCCTGGTTGAGTGGCTGAGCAGCTGGTGGTAGTTATTCCCCATGATGAGACTGGTGGGACCTACCACAAGCAGCTGAGTAACTGTCTTTGGGATGTGGTCTGCTTCCTGTATATAAGGAGAAGCATTGGGAATGGTCTCTAGCCTATGGCATGCTTGGACCTTGCATGGAGCCTTGTTGCTCAGCAGCCTGCTATGCTCTGCCACCCTTGGGCCTTAAAATGGACTTAAGTTACTGGCCTGATGTGTGGTTTGTTAACATAGGGACTGTGCCATTTTCTTTGTCAACCTTGGGCTTCTCAGCCTCAGCAGCTGTCTGAGTGAAGAAATGCCTCTAGCTCCAATGGGCCGGGAGCAGGAGGCAGAGCTGGACCCCAAGATTGAAGGGCTTTCACCCAGCCCCTACAGCCTGGTGCTTTGAACTTGGACTTAAAGCCTCCTTGTGAGAGAATAACCTCCTATTTGTTAAGGCCATCCCATTTGTGGTATATTCCTGTCAGAGTGGCACCAGGTAACCAGAACAGATGTTAAAGTTTGAATGTGTTCTCTAAGTCTCAATTTTTCTCTCATTCTTCTATTCTCTTGACATTCCTACACTGTATTGTGGAAAGCACTCTTGACTTAATCGTCCATCTCATTAATTCATTCTTTATCTACATTCAATTTTCTATTCATCTACTGAATTTATTTCCATGACTCATTCACTGACTCAATAATTTTATTTTTTTTTTGAAAGCCTTTATGGTGCTAGTGATGGCCTGAGGACTGTTTTATAATTTCCTGATTTATTTTTTTGGAACTTATCCTCAAATCTAAGAAAGACTGACATTTCTTTTATGCTCTTTATTCTTCTCGTATTTCTGTGGTTTGGTTGTCTACTCATCTTTGTTGTTTGGGATCTCTGTTATTCTGTTTGTGGTTGCTGGTTAGATCAAATGTAGCTTGTTTGTGTTGATGTGGGGGAATGATCAAACATACTTCTATGTGAGGCAGGTCAGTAGATTGTAGTCTGTTCATGTGAGCTTCCCATCCCACTGGGGATCTGTAGCTACTTAAGGTTTGGGGATCTCCTCTGGTCCAATTGCACATTCAAGTGTTTATGCCTAAATGCAATTGCTGTTGCTGCCTACTGCCTAGCCCAAGTTGGGAAAAGGGTTGAACGATGCAGTTGTTTCAAGTGCAGCCCCCACCCAAGGAACCTCCTCAAATCTTCCCTTACTCTTTCCTACTTTGGAACTTTCCTGGAACCACCATTATTTGACCTGCCATCCTCCATTTCTGAACAGCTGTGCTTTCCTTTAACCTTACTTATCTTATCCCACTTATGTATCTCAGAAATTCCTCAAATGTTTTTGTCAGTGGTGGGCCACTAGATTTCATCTTCTTTTGAGAAGGAGAGGTCAAAGGTATTTGATCATTCTAACCATCTTAGGGAGCTCTGTTAGTGGTGTCTAAGGCATTTGACTGCTAACCAGAAGGCTGGCGGTTCAAAGCCAACAGCCACTCCTCAGAAGGAAGGTTGGGCAATCTACTTCCGTTCAATCTCCTCCTTTAACTGCCATTTATTTCAGTTCTTCTCAGTGGTCAGCCTATGATTTGAAGCTTAATGTGTCTGAAACTGCCAGATACTAGTCATAATATTCAGCATAAGGTTCATGTGTTTTATTCATTAACTCTTTCAAGTGCTGTAGAAAAGTAAGTGCTATGGGAATTTAGGGTTCTCCCAGCTGAATGAAGGCTTCTGAGTTGGACTTGGAATAAGAATCGGACATGCAGACAGTTGTATAATAAGGGAAGAGTCGAAACTAGCTACTTTGGCTTGAAATGTAGAATTCATGACAGGACTCAGACACTTAGTGATAAGGGAAAATAAATCAGTCATTTACTTTTTTGTTTGTTTTGGATAAACTATAAGATACAATAGGAAAATTTTCAGATTTTTTTTCTTAATCTTCAGACTGAAAATTGTTAGAGGCCTTATCCAGCTATTACAAAATTTGGGTAAAATGATAAATAAGGCCCAAAGTGTCCATTAGTATATGTGCTGTGTAAACACACAGTTTAGTTGTGTTTTATTGTCTACGCAAAAACATTTGATTGTGTGGATAATAACAAATTATGGATAACATTGAGAAGAATGGGAATTCCAGAACACTTAATTGTACTCATGAGGAACCTGTATATAGACCAGGAGGCTGTCGTTCAAACAGAACAAGGTGATACTGCCTGGTTTAAAATCAGGAAATGCATGCATCAGGGTTCTATCCTTTCACCATACTTACTCAATCTGGATGTTGAACAAATAATCTGAGAAGTTGGACTATATGGAGAAGAATGTAGCATCAGGATTGGAGGAACACTCACTAACACCCTGTGATCCACAGATGACACACCTTTGCTTGCTGAAAGTGAGGATGACTTGAAGCACTTACTGAGGAATACTGAAAACTACAGTCTGCAGTATGGATTACACCTCATTATAAAGAAAACAAAAATCCTCACAAGACCAATAAGCAGCATCATGATAAAGGGAGAAAAGACTGAAGTTGTCAAAGACTTCATATTGCTTGGTTCTACAGTCGACCCAATGGAAGCAGCAGTCAAGACATCAGATGATGTATTGCACTGGGCAAACCTGGTGCACAAGACCTTTTTAAGTGCTGAAGAGCAAAGATGTCTCCTTGAAGACTAAGGTGCCCTTGATGTAAGCTATGGTATTTTCAATCACCTCATATGCATGTGAGAGTGGGACAATGAATAAGGAAGGCTAAAGAGTGAATGCTTTTGAGTTGTGGTGTCAGTGAAGAATACTGAAAGCAACACAGACTGCTAAAAGAGCTAACAAATTTGTCCTGGAAAAGTGCAGCTGGAATGCTCCTTGGAAGTTAAGAATGCCCAGACTTCATCTCACCTACTTTGGTCATGTTGTCAGAAGGGACCATTCTCTGGGGAAGGATATTATGCTCCCCAGAGAAAAGTGGAGGGTCAATGAAAAAGGAGAAGGCCCTCAACAAGATGGACTAACACAGTGCCTGCAATGATGGGCTCAGGTATAGCAGGGATCGTGAGGCTGGCATGGGACTGAGCAGTGTTTTGTTCTGCTGTACCTAAGATTGCTATGAGTCAGAGACTCAACGGCACCCAATAACAACAAAGTGTAAACTATTTAATGCCCCTGTGTGTGGGTGTGTGTGTGTCCATCACTGATGTGGGTTCAACACCAGAAAACTCCTCCTGCCATTTGATGCCTATTTTGAGAGTTATATAGGTGAACTATTAATTTATACTATGAGTCACTTTTTAAGATATTTAATAGCATTTTCTCACCAAAAAAAAGTTTAACACTTCAGAAACTATTAATATGGCATTTTTGAGGGGTGGCCTGTTTTTTAGGCAATGTTTTCTGCAGGACTATTAAATAGATCCTCAACTGGCACAATTGTGGGGGTGAGGAGAGGTCCTCTAGGGAGTCACTTCTGAATTTCTTTTTAGAACTCAATATTTTTATATTTGGAAAATCTTAGATGGGAAATAGGGGCTAAAATGGTCAAGTGTGTGTTACCAGAAAGAGTCTTAAATGGGAGTAGTGTGTATTTAAGAATTTTACCTTTATCTTCAAAGGACATGGGTTTGTAAAAGCTTGAAAATTAGAGTTTTACAGGAGGCTACAAGGCCCAAGCCTCTTTCAGATACTGCATTCTTTGGTTAAAAAATGACCAAAAAAAAAAAAGTATTTTGAAAATCCTTAATTTATGTCTCAAAACAGTAAACAAAAATCTGTGCTTTACTATATGCTATTTGGTACCACCAGTAATCTTTGACACTGGCCTAAAATTAAAAAATAAAGTTATTATGAATTTAGCTTTTATTCAAAATTAAATAAGCAAAAGCAAAATTTGTAAGAAACTTTTACAAATGACTTACATAAAAGAAAGCTAATAGAGACAGTCACAAGTTTGCAACAAATAATTACAAAAGTATCTAGGGCAGCATGAATATAAACCATGCCACAGCATGGTGATCTAATTGTGATGTGAATAAGGCATAACTAACATTTGCACCAAGACTAGAATTTAAAATTAAAACAAACTTTAAAAGCTTAGGTCTACATTAAGCTTCTCTTCTTCCCCTAGTTCCTCAATGGGTTTATACTATGTACTTTTTTCTTTAAAACAAACACATCATGTCAAACTATAAATTACATAGATGGGCAGTTCATGGGAAAGCCCCTAAAATGTACAAACTAACTGATACTGAATTGAGTTCTCCATTTGTCTTTATGTACAATTAAATGTAAACCATATTTTCACAGTTTTAAGTGTTTTATGAATAGATGCACAGTACCATGTCAGGTTTGTAATTGTTCCTGAAAACTGGCTCTAGGTTCTACATCCAATGCCTATCAGGCACTGTGATGCAAGTATTTACATAAATAAGAAACTGTGTCATAGTCAATGGTCAAGACAGGTCAGCAAGAGCAGTATTTCCAACAAATAGTGATACTCAATACCATATGTTACATACTTGTGCAAATATAAGCATTAGGACAGATATATCTGAGGCAAATTCAATTTGCAAAAAACTGTATCGCTACTGTTGTAAACTTGGGCAACAAATGACCCTCTGTAAGTTCTGCTCTCTATGGCTTTTTTTTCTTTTAAAATTTTAAAGCCAGAGAAAATGCACACATACTACCCATGCACACGCACACGCACGCACGCACGTGCACACGCACACATACACGCACGCACACACACAGACAACCCATACACACAGAGTTCTCATTTCATTTTAGAATATGGTACATAGTGCAACTTCATCACAATGTAGAGGTTTAACACACATTCAGTGCGTGTTTTTCTGTGCAAGTTCTCAGTGGTCTAGATCCTAGTTGAAGGTATTCATTTGAAGAACCACATGAATCAGGAGGTTGAAGAAAAAACAAAACAAAATGAAAACAACAGTTTCATTACATTTCTTAAACCAGCACTGGATGTGCAAAGGCAGCGAACAATCTGGCTGTCAACATAGCCAGATTAGAATAACTGTTTAAAGGAAGATCCAAGCAATTAGTTACTTAGACTGGTCTCTAGAAAAATAGGTCAGTATATGCTGTATCTTTGTCAACCGTTCTTTCAAAGACTTCATTGACAAAACCGACAGCTGATATCGGGGATCTACAGGAAGAACTGCGAGAAGCCACCAACACCATGCAGGTCCATTAGGGGTTGCCTAAAAATAATCAACATTTTATAGTATTAATAAAGCAAATATTTATGAACAACAGTAATGAATAACTTAAAGCTACTTTTTCTTGAGCACATTACTGTGTCAGTTCCTCTCTCAATTTTCTTATTAAGTAAAGCAGACCATTAGTAAGCCCATGTAACAGAGAGAAATGAAATTCTGAAATGTAATATAAATTGTTCAGGATCTCTCAGCTCCTCTAAGCTCCTGTGTGGGAGAACCACAATTAAAACCCAGAGCCAACGTCCTTACCTCTGCACCACACTGCCTTAAAACAGTGTTTCTCAATCTAAGCACTATTGACAATAATTTGTGTTGGATAATTCTTTGTTGTAGGCAGCTGTCCTGTTCATTTTAAGATGCTGATCAGTATCCCTGGCATCTATCCACAAGAATCTAGTAGCACAACTCCCAGTTGACAGCCAAAAAGTATCCAGATTACACTGGCAAACATCTCATGAGGGCCAAAATTGCCCGTAGTTAAGAACCACTGTCTTAAAATACAGAGTGAAGCATTAAGAAAACTTAATTTATATTAAGATGTCTTGAAATAATTATGGACTCTAAGGAATGATAACACAAAATAATGGTCTCAGGTTCCACTTTTGCTTGAAAGCTAAAAGTCTCTGATGTTGCAAGGGCTCACTACTGGCTACTAAAAGAACTAGGAATTCAAATAAGAATTTGTAAGCTATATTTACTGTACATTCAATTGCTTTGTATTGAACCTGAAGTTTCAGAAGGACAAAAGGACCAGTGACATCAGTGGTGATCTCAATAAGGGCCCTCTAGAATCAAAGTAGACTTCTACATTTATATGTTGTCTCTTCTCAACTCAGCATCACTACTATCTTCTGCATAATGGAGAAGTCAGAAACTATATTTCCCAGAATCTCCTTCCCTGTGTACATTTCCAATTGCTATTGCACTGATATGATTTCATCTCATGGCCATCCCAGGTGTTACAAGGTAGAGGTGTACTCCATAGAACACCCACCTCTGGGTGGGTTTGAACTACCAATCTTTCAGTTACTAGTCAAGCCCTTAACTGTTTGCATCACCCTGGGACTCCAGTTCTAGGTTAGACTTTGCCAATAAAAGAGGCACTCCTATGAGATTTGGAAGTTTGAAGAGAAAGGTCCATTACTGTCTGGAGAGTGTTGCAGATAGAAGTGTGGGCAGATGTGAAATTCACAAAAGCTTTCTGCAGAGTTCTTTCTACTGCTGCAGACTGGGAGACTGGTGGGGAGTACCCTGTAAATTCTGAAGAATTAGAGCAGCTTCTCTTCAAGTTCTTGAGGACCATGCTGATTTGATGTTCCCAGCTGAGGTCTGTGGCAACAGATTCCCTGACCTTTGTTGGTAATGTTTTTGATCTTTCAACTCTAGTTCTTCCAATGGTTGTATAAAACTCTAAGTCCTACATTAAAACCTTCATCCCTGGAATACACAGAGTGGCTACTTTTGTTTTCTTGAGAAAATCCTGACTTACAGAATGTTACTAATAGGAAGCAATGACAGAAAACCAGTTAATAAAAAAGAAGGATGGTAAAGTAATGTTAGATTTTTCTATAAGCTAGGTTTGTTAATGTTTGTAATTTACTTATTCAAGTTCATGTTCATCAACGGCAATTTCTGTCAGGTCCAATCAGATTTAGGATAAAACAAACATGTGGCAGCTTATCATATGCTAAATATAGAATAAGTATTCAAATTGGAGATGCTGATGCTGAAATTTCAAGTTCAAGGGAAAGATTCAATTGTGATTCAGACTTGGACCAACCTTTGAGAATGTGAAGGAGAGGCAGTTTGCATCACAATGGTACTTGTTATGTTTCCATTTCCATCTACCTATTTACAGCTATTTCTTTATGAACTCTATCACCTTCTTACCACCACCAGTTTATTGAATTCAACTTAAAATGTTTATGGCCTAAAACTTAGTGCTTTGATAAGTCTTTAGTCAGATTTCCCACACAAAGCCTCTTCTTGATGCCTCCTGCAGTGCCCACTGCACAGATCTGCTTACACAGAAAGTGCCTGATCTATACTTAATTAGATGAAGCTTAAGTATAAAGCCTACATACCTAAGCAAGGCCCTAAGAAGAAGAGGGTGATAAGAAGTGAAGTACTAAACAAGAAGAGACAAAAACAATTTGAAGTGAGTGGGTAAAAAGTACAGAAAATGTCATACATTTCTTAATGACTTTCCAAAAAACACCAGTAACAGCTGGCTGGCTCAAAGGCACAGCGTCTTGTGATCACAATTTATTAGGTGGTCTCATTTTTAATTCTTTATCCTTCTTTCCAGAAAATCCTTAGCTAAAGGCCTTCTCCTTCTCTGGTATTCACTCTCTAAGCACCTCAGTTGGAAACTATTGCCATCTTCTACCTATACAAACTTTACTGGACATCACTGCTCTAGAGAATAAAATCATGACTACAAAGGCAGGCTGTCCAAAGAAAATGCTATGAAAAAAGGAACATTAAAAAAAAGAAAGAAAAAGTTTTATTAATTTTTGGGTTTCCAAATTAAGTGACTGAGCCCTTGGAAGCAATATCAAAGCCATCGTACCTGAAGGTCTTCCTCCCTCTCAGGCATTGATCCAAAGTGCTGAAGAATCTGACTTCGAAATCTATCTCTTAAATTTTGGAACCAGCTACAGGCTTGAAAGTATACCAAATTGTGAAGCTCTCTGAGATTCCTGGTCTCATCTTCATTCTCAACCTAGAAAAACAACAATCAATGAGACTTTTGTGCCTGTATCAGCAATGCTACAGAAATTTAAAAAAGAAAAAGATGAGGGAAATATATACTTCAGTGCTGGTGTATCAGAGTGTATTATTTTTACATTATATGAAGCACACATTTGTGTTTCACATAGTGCCAATGGGGCCAGACTAAACAATGACAGCAAGGCTTCATCTCCACCTTGCCTTGAGTTAGCAGTGAAATTTTGCAGAACCCTACCAATAGGCCCTAACTGGGAGGAGTAAGATTGGGAGTGAGTCCTACGATAAATGTTTAAACAAACTTGGAAATTCTTTTGCCTTCATAGATATGTGGCTTTTGACAGCAGTTACTTAAAAGAATGCAGTTGCTAAAAATGATAGATGAGGGAGGGATGCAGATGACATTGCAGAAAGCAGGACAGGATGGAGGCCAGGCATGATTATATCTTTTACCAGGAAACTGAGTTTAAAAACAAACAAACAAACAAAAATGCAACAAGTAACTTGGTATATAAACCATTATCATCAGAAGCTAGAGAATAAATGATACAATGATGAGCTGCTCCTGCTGTAGAGGCCCAAGGCTGTAGCTACATCCACAATCCCTCCATAAACCCTTCAGATTACTAGATCACCAAACTGCAAATGCAAATTTAAATTCATCAGCCTTCTAGCCAAACATCTAAGAGTATTCTCACAGAATGCAAGTGGGCAGATAGAACGTTAACTCACCATCTTATATTGTAATCTTTAACAAACACTTATATCCTACTTACTATGTGTCAGGCAGGGTTGTGTTTCATATATACTTATAATTAACTTGTCTGAACAAATATCAGGCCTGACTCAGCCCTTCATATTTCAAGGATGACTAAATGGAAAAGCAACAAGGGGACTTTGAAACATTTTTAAATATAAAAGGTAAGACTATATAGCTCACAAAGAACTAAAGAATATAATTTTTACTTTTAAAAGATTTGAGATAAAAAATTAAACTAAGGTTTCAAAAAGCAACAGCTTTGCACTTTCACAAAATTCAAGGAAAAAACTATGGACTCTAGAACACAAGGAACAAAAAAGGTGGCTAAAAAGCAGACAAATAAAAAATAATAATAAAATAATAAAAATAAAAATGCAAGATATTAAAGTTAAGGAGTTAACTGTAATAATACAATTTAAAATTTAAATAGAAGTCATAGAAAGGAGAATTATTATAGTAAGTAAAAAAAAAGACTTCGATATTGCGGTGTAGTAAATTACTTAGTGTGGCTTTTCTACCCATAAGTCTTTGTAAACTCTAAGGTGGGAATTGCTATTAGCTATGGAGGAGATCCTGATTTTAAAGTCGCCCCCTGGGTTATTTCTGTTGGGCGTGGCACAATACAATGTTCTGGGAAGTTCCCACTCTCTCTCACGTG